TTCCCGATCCTGTGGTTTGCCTCTATTGGCCCCAATCACTTTGCCTTCCCCCCTCTCATGTCCAATTGTGCTGTTTGGATGTTCTTAGTAACATTTCGAAGTCCCAACCTCCCGTTTGCAACACATTATTTACAACATTTCCAGAGCCATAGCCTCCCACTTACACGCTGTTTGCGTAGGAGCTGCAAACCAAATACATGCTACCTACGTGCTGCCAATATACCACCTACATGTTGTTTAGATGGAATATGTGCATGTTGTTTAATCCCATTGCATGTATACCCGCTATTAATATTATCTAGGCTCCAATATTACCTTTGCATCCCTATATTTAACCTTTGTACCGCATCACGTTCACTTTTTGCATGCGCATATATAAATCACTTACCTACACACTGCCTGTAATTATATAACAGTGCGCTACCCTAAATAGAGCGTATTTGGTACTTGTATACTAGCGATGTAATACCTATGTAAAGAGCCTATGAACTACCTGAGTAGAGCCAATATAGAGCCTATATACAACCTATATACTACCCATATGTGCTAGCTATATACTACCTATATAGGCTATTTGTTACTACCTATACAAAGGGTCTATACTACACCATACTACACTTATATACTGCCCATGTAGAATACCTATGGGCTATCCATATATTGCCGATATACTACTCACCTACTATACTACTCAACATGATCATATGCTGCATCAAAGCTCCCATCCCCCCTCATCCGCGCATCACAGGGTGGAAGGAGGCAACCATAGTTACTACCTAGGTACCTCATATTACACACAAACACACACACACACTGACACAAACATGCACACACACACACGCACAGATTCAGATGTGTATGTGCATGCATACATGTGATATACTTGTTAAAGTTCATATCAAAACTTGAGAGGGGGGACGAAAGGTAGGTGGGGGCAAATCTCATTTTTTTTTTGCGCTCATCCTGTTTCAATATCGAACTTTCCCTTCCCCCTAGGTGCCTCTCAATTTCCTGCATCCATTTCGAGCAAGATAATGTTAGTCTGTTTGTTGGCCAGCTATGTGAATTAGAGGGGCCAAGGTGCCTCAACCGATGGACGCTCGGTTGAGGCACTTTGCGTGTAGGGATAAGTCTTTAGGGATGTAACCTTCATGCGGCTAAGCGTGTGAAGATGTCTGAAGCAAAAGCAACATCAAGAATTGCAGGAGACGAAACCGTCCTTGTTTCGTGGGAACTATTAAAAGGCTTGTGGCTCAGGGATAAGTGTCGCTGCGACGGGACGTACTGATATTGTTTTCCTATCTAACAGGAGCAATGTCCATGACCTGTGAAGAACATCGAATAGTCTCGTAAAGTATTCCAGTTGGAGCATGGAGCGGAGTTCCTACACAAAACAACGCTGCCCACGGGATGAGTTTTGTCAACACGATCGAAGATTGAAAAGGAGATCAAGGCCGTACTCTGAAATAAACTGACCAAAAAAACATGGAAATTCCATGAGGCCAACCGTAAACAAAATGCATAGCATCGAATACATCGGGAGTTTTTCCAATCCGGACCAGGCAGGATTCGAAGGGTTAGGGGGCCCCCTTATGTGGAGATTCCTTACTTCCAGCCGTCAATTTCCAGGAAAGGGCCAACCACCTCCCCCAGTACTAAACTAGTACTAAAGTACATGGAACTCAGGTAGCCTAGGCTACCTTTCGTGAATTGATAAAAATTGTATATGTCATTTTATTTCATTCGATTTATTGGTTGGAAGCGACATCATCGTTGATTGCTTGCCTCAGGCTATTAGAAGCACTTCCGCAAAGCTGCTGTGCCAACCATATTTTTATATGCTGCCCACTACAGAACATGCTAAGGGAAAGAAAGTGCACTCACATATTTCAACACATTTCAAAGGGAGAGCTGCCGTCGAATACCACTTTAATAATCTTTAATCATCTTTGATCCTTTTCCCTGACAACTCCTACCCCTTGGGGTGCCAAGGCAACCTAATGATTGGCCCTCATTTAGTGCAACGACCTGCAGACCATGCCTGGATAAACTAATGCCAAATCAAATCTTCTTGATTGCACGGCTCATGGTGGGTGCCCCTGCACATTTGACCAAAAGTCTGATGTAAGCGGAGCAGATTCAAGATTAAAAGATATTAAAAGTATATGTACGTATTAAAGGTGAGATCTTGCCAAATGGAATTCAGTCTGTTTTCTTTTTCCTGGTGCAAGTTACTTCTAGAAAGTGTGATGAACCATACCTATATGCGTCGTTGTCCCCTGGCTTCAAAACGATATGATGATGATTATGAAATTAAGATGATGATGAAGACGACGACAATGATGATGAGGATGAAGATGAAGATGAAAATGAAAATGATGAAGATGATGAATATGATGAAGATGAAGAAGATGATGATGATGGTGATGATGATGATGATGAGGACGACGACGACGATGATGGTGGTGTTGGTGTTGGTGGTGGTGATGATGATGATGAGGAGGATGACTATGACGATGGGACAAATAAGAATGAAAGCAGCCATGGCTACGATTAGATCATTTGTGTTGTTTCGTGACAGGGAAGGCATAGGCATGTCACATGCCGTTTGAGTGCGCCAAAGTTGCACCAAAGGATTGATAGGTGATCCGTCCGCGGAGTGCCTTGGCCAAGGAGCATTAAAGATATTCAAAGCTGGTGCTATGCTTCTCTTCCTTGTCCAAGAGTGAGGCATGTCTGGTTTGTGTATGGACTCTAAAGGGCATACAACTAGCAATTTCGGCGAAGATGCTGGGATACATTCGGATAAGAGTGGGAGAAATCGCCAGCTTTCCCCGATTTTGGATCAATGGATAAATCGCCAGCTCGGATCAAACCCCGTAGATCCACCGAAGCGAGGACATTGCATGACATAACTCAGTGTCAGGACCACCACTTGCGGGATGTCTGTGATGCTTCCGTGGTATTGCTGTGATCATCTGTGATCCCATCACATGGACCAAACATCCACATCTCAAGGTATTGACCGAGGCCCTTGCGGCTCGCCGTCATCGCCCAGGACTACACTTGGTGGATCATTGGGCGGCCTGGCGAAGCTAAGGCCACGTATTGAAACAGCCAGCGGCTTCTTTAGGTAAATTCTGAGCTGCCAAGAAATAAGTAGCCCCAGAATGTCCCAGAAACCTTCTGGAGTGCCGGAAATCTAATGAAACTTAGGGAATGTATGATATTGTGACCCGCCATGCAGCGCCGGTCCTCTTGATGCAAGGGGGACAATCCTTCGGACACACCAGGCACTCGCAGGCAGGGCCTGATGGCCCGGAAGCAGCGAGAAATGGCAGCTTCAACGAATCGCAGATTAAAAATTGCGTGCGATTACTCAATCAAAATCAACCTAAAAATACCTAAATATACGAGAATATACGTACGTATTGTCAATTGATTATTCAAATTTATTCAATCATATTCCATCACAAACTTGTCCCATGCTTTCAACATGCCTAAAACGCGCGGTGACTCGAAAACAACTGCTTCATACGGCAAAGATGGCACAGGTGGCTCCACTAGACAGAGCCATGTGAAATTTGTGCATCTTGTACATGGTATATTATGGTATGGTACCCTCTGGTAAACTAACATAGCTATTGAAAATGGCCCATTTATAGATGGTTTACCTATTAAAAATGGTGATTTTCTATAGCTATGTTAAATTACCAGAGGGTATGGTAAATTGTGGTAACTTCAAGGGAGTTGAACTCCGAATATAATCTTGCCACTGAACATCTATGATGCGTTCAGCCTATCATCGTAAAAAACTCCACCAAGAGAGATCTCTTGAGCACCGGTACATCCAGAGCGAAAGCCACAGAAGCCTCTAGGCCGAGGTGCAATATGGGCAGTTGTTGTCCATGTCTTTGCACACTATCCTGAGCTTGCTGGTGTCATGTTCCAGCAGCAGCGCTGGGGTGCTCAAACCGAATGTTAACTTTAATAAAACACCGCCAAGATCCGCCAAGAAAGATTACAGTAGCTCCAAGCCTGACAGGCACTTCTATGACAAACCCATTTATAAATCTCACATTATTTGATATTATTTATCTCAAGCAAAGTGAAAGCATCGGGCAATAACTTGGCCATGTGCTCATTTATACTCACCATTCATGAACCCTCGTAACGAGGCACTGAAAAAACACGCAGTGCTTCCGAGAATCTTGCGATGTTCTGGAAGTGCTGCAGGGGGGCTGCCTTTTTTGGCACAATCCGCAATGACCAACAGTGGGACGGCGGGGATTCAAACGGGGTTGTTCATGGCAGGGAAGAATCAACTGGTCAAACGCGCGGCTGAGGCGACCCTTGACAGCCTTGACCTGGAGCAGCGCCCGGATGTTTGTAGCCTGATGGAGGTACAATGACAAGCATTGATACAAATGTACTTACTTTCTGCCCCCTAATCTTCGCAATGACACTTATCATTCCAAACATAGCCAGTGAGTCCAAATCAACGTTGAAGGCCGGCAGGAGTACCGACACTGTGATCGATGTTCGCACTGCTGCGGTTGAACGGAAGTACATTCGTTCTGCTCATCTCTATAAGATCTTTAAGGTTTTTTTGCTCATTTTTCGCCATTCACACGAATTTCCCATTGAGCTTCCTACGAGGTTAGGTTCCAATGCTTCTTAGAGTACAAATCACCGTGACGGTAAGACCTGTGGAGTAGCTGAAGCATGCACCACAAAACGCATGAAGCAGCAAAAAAACTATTTGCTCCGGGGTGGTTCTTCCAAATATATCCAACTATGATCAACATATGTTTACTCTTCCTTGGAACATCTTGGAACTATCAGTGAACTATCCTTTGTGCAGCCCTGGCACCATGGGGGCAAGCTGGACAGACAGGGCAAGCCGGACACCTTGGTGCCACAGCTAAATCAAAATCAAATGCCCCGTTGCCACGCCCTTTGCCGCGATCCCCCCAGCCCTTTGAGAAGGAATGCTCTGGACATTTCTCACAAAGAATCTCCGGGCAGTCCTTTCCTCAGGTGCGGCTCAGGGAAATTGGTTTCAAGAGATTTGCAAAGCAATTATGCAGGTTTTGTTTTTCGTATGAGTTTCATCAATCATTGGATTTATTGCCATCCCATCATAATTATCTCATGATAGTCACTATCCGATCCCACGATTGTGCGAGGTGTGGCCGAGAAATCTCTAGGTCTTCTAGGTGCCTCTAAGGTCAAGAAACTTAGCATCCAAGCAGTTTGGCAAACGATAAGCATTTTATAGCATGTTCATGTAAGCATGCCGCGCGAACTAAACCTGCCTGCTGCAAGCGGGCCAAACCTGTCATACTATCACCAAATGGCCCTTTTCCGTTGACCATCATCCCGGTAGAATATTAGTATCCAAGTAGTCTTTTCTAGGTGGTGCGGCCAAACTTCAAGTCATCTGGCAAACCAAGGTGCTGCGCATATCAAATTGGTGCCCGTCATCTCTCGCATCATCAAACCAATTCTATCCAATTCTAATTCTGCATCATTGCTCTGTTGGAAACTTCCAAAACTGTGAAGTTGTGGAGTCTGATAGTCTGATTGAGTCACTCATCCCCTTTTTGGATAGGCTCCTGATATCCTGAGATATCGTCCTGCTGAAGATTGCCAGCTGAGGTGCTAGATGGAATGGCTCCCTTTGGCAGGTGCTGCTCCTGGGCGAATTCAATATTGATCCATCCGAAACAGCTTAAACTTTCTGTGATTGATGAGTTATACTGATACTGAATTATGAATATTAAGGGTAGGTCCTGATGAGTCATGATCTCTCCTTACTTAACTTGATTTTTACCGCGGAAACCAGCAACGGAGGCTCCTGGCGCGCCATGTCGTCTGGATCACGAGCACTTCTGTCAGCCTCATCGGCTGCCGCACTCAACCGGCTGGCCTGGTCCTCAGCAGTGCAGAGCATCTTGGGCCGGATCCCTGCCGACCTACCACGGCTTGGAACATTTGGAACCTACCCACATCTCATGTTTTGATTCATCCGACTTCCATCGTAATTCATCACGATTCCGCGTAATTCATATGTTTCTTAAATCACACTTGATCATAAGTCATCAGCATTCATCATAAGTTATGAGTCATCCATCATAATTCACAAGAATTCACCATAATTCACCAGTGCCATGATGAACTTAAGGATACTTGTACGTCAACTTCGCCAAGTTTTTGAAGCCTGGGATCTGCTTCAGCATCCAACGTCTTCTGCATTTCCTTTGCTGCGCGCAAAGCGGCAGCACTTTCGAAGCAAGTGGCACGAGGCCTGGCCTTGGCGCCAAGGGACAGAGAGCGACATCAATAACCAGAATTTAGACATTGTTGTCGTTGAGATCCTCAACTAGTGAAATATGTGAAATTAGGTGAAATATTATATGGTGAAATTGGATAATTAAAAAGCATTAAAAAACCTTTGCTCCAGCCTCAAACAATTTGTCCTAGTGAAAGAGCGTTGATGATCTCCTGTAGCTTTTGGGAGGCTAGCTGATCCCAGCAACAGTTCTGCTCAGGTGCACAAAAAGAACTCATGTGTACACCCGTCCGACGGGTACCCGTCCCGTCTATACATAAAACAAGCCTGTCTGTTTATCTGTCTATGTATCTTGCCATCTCTGGCCTAGGTTTCTACAAGTAGTCTCCTCACCCACCTGTGCATTTCCCCTTGCTGTCAAGAGAAGCTGGGCATCTTGCAAGGAGACCAGCAGGTTTTCCAATATCCAAATCCTCAAGCTTTCAAGTTAGATCAGGTTAGTGAGTACAGCTGTTGTCTCATCCGCATGCGCGTGATTGCCGAGTTGTTTGTTGAAATTTGTTGAACCATGTTGAACCTATATCTTGCGACCAAGTGTATGAAGGCACAAATCACGAAGTTCGGGACAAACAGGGCAGGTGGTACCACCATGTGTCCATGTGTACATCCCATTCGATTAGCCCCCCGAGTTCATCCGAGTTCTATAGATTTCCACTGAAGCTCCTGGACGAAGATGAACTTCTCATGGCTTGCTCTCCAAGAGGGCCATGATATGTGCGCAGCAAGAGCCTTGGCAGCTGTTGTTTTTTTTTGTATCTCAGGCTGGTGTTTCAACTGTTTGACAACAGTCCAGCATCCAATCGTCTAAGTAATCCTTCATCTTTGATATAGTAGCACTACTTAGCAGCTGGCAGTTACCTTCACACATTGTTTCATCTATGCCAATTGCAGAGAAGAGCCAAGGCACATCTTCAAGGAAACTACGTCGCATCAGTGCAGGGTTGGCATAGGCAGCTTTGTCCCATGCACTTTTTTGGCAGACTGCTAAACCTGCTGTGAAAGGCTGAGGTTGCATTAGATTAAGTTTGTGTGTTGAAGCACTTCAGTGATGCAGCGAAGTGCAGGGGAAGGCCCTGCTTTCATTCTACTAGTAGCTGCCTCTGTTGCCCAATACACCACTTTAATTAAACTAGTCATGTTTAGTCGGAGTAGCACTTGAAAGGGCAATTCATTTCATGCAACAATCCTTAAGCCAGAGTTGCGAACCATCGTGGCGTCTGCGTGTTGCCTTCAGTGCCGAACGATCCAATGCAAGGGGTGGAGTTTGGACCAATTCGAACGGAACAATTATCACCCAACATGCCCAACTTTAAACAACTTACTTTCTGTTGAGTTGGCTGCTTGGTTCATCTTGTTTCCATCTAGCTCGACTTTGCTCAAGCAGGGAGCTGGCACGCCGCGGCCTTTTCTGATTTCCAGTGTCGGCAGACTAAGGGTCCGTATTACTTGCACTGACTGGCCAAAGTTCATCACTCATTCTGCTGCTTACATTAAATTTTATCAACACCTGAAGTGCAGGAACTCAGGCTCAAGTTCTGACTTATCCAACGTGGGTATGCTGGGGCTCAAAGTGGTTGACTCCGAAACTGGATGGATTAAAACGTATTTAAAACAAAAACAACAAGCAAAGTTATGGGTCCCTGAGTGCCCTGTTTGCTGGCCACTTAGTGATATCGGAAGCTGCATTCAATATGCAAGCGGCTGCAAGCGCAAATGGCAGTCAGTGCGGTGTCCGATTCAAGCGGCCACAGAGCCTGTGCCTTTTCCAGGTGAATTGTAATATATTGTAATTCTGCTCATGAGACCAGGTAGCGATCCTGCATCACCTAAAGTCAAACACTTGAGGTTGATTGGTATCTGTCAAGTGATGCACACACCCCCATCATCTTCCATCCGCTGCCTACGTAGCTTGTGGCGCATCTTGCTGTCAGGGTGCCGGCTGCGCTCTTCGAGCGGCCGTTGAAGCACAAAAATGATACATCCGATGCATGTCAGGTGAGACGGCCATTGGCACAAAAACAGCCAGTGACGCGTTGTGCAGTCCTGCACCGGGTGTTGCAGTTAAAGCCTGCTCTCCTCACATTCCTCTCTGGAATGACTAAGACTGAGTTCTTTGATGATTGTTCTGACCAGTCTGCTGCTGCAACAGCCCCTTGCAAGCGATTCTTGCCCCAGAACATCGGAATAGATCTCTTCCGCAGGTGCTAGCCCATCTCTGCCCTTTAGGCAGTGGCTGCCCATGGGTGCAGGGAATTCAACCCTCTTTTCAATAATGGGATGGACATGACATCAAACATGAATTGCAAATGGCAAGCCTGCATTCCAAAACTATCACTAGCTATCTGCTGAGTGAGTGTAGTGATCTCACCACCTGTACTTTTGCAGATTCACATCATTTTTTGACATTGCACATCTATATAGTTGCTTGATGTTGCTTGATATCGTCCCCTGGCCACATCACAACATGCTAACGGGTTCTACTCCCTGCTGACCCCACTGCTCTCTACACAAGACCATGACCGCGAGCTGTGTTTCACTCAGCGGCCCATAGCAGCCCTACTTGGCGGCTATTCCTCCCTCTCCAAAGCATTGCTTTGGGCGCCTAGGCGGCCACGGCTAAGGTCCGTATGACATAGTATGACCACATTGCTCAGCCCATGTCAGCCCAAACTGTGAGGTGGGTATGGATCAATACCTATTAATACCATTTTTAGGGGGATGAACATCCATAAATCCCAGCTATTTTGATGTTCACTACAGGGGTACTATTGGTTTTGACACACTGCCAGGTGTTTTAGGAATCCACCAAGTTAGAATTGAGGACATCCACCCAGATTCCCAGATCGACGAGAAACTCACCGATACGGATGCCTTTGAATCTCAGAGCATCGAGGCATCGGAGGCATCGACACTTCATCTCATGTGTCCATCCTCAGACATCAGAAATGCCCAGTTAATCGTTGATCATCCTGGTGGGGGTGGAACATGGTGGAACAGATAGCTAGTACCAGGTAGATACACAGGTGGATAAACAAACAGACAGGACAGACAGACCGATAGATAGCTGGCTTTTGTCAATATATTTTAAAAACTGTCCGGTTCATTGTGCGATGAATCGCAGGTACCTTCTCTATTAGGCCTAGACCAAAGGTGCAAGGCTAAAGGTTCATTTCTGAAAGCTGAGGCAGCAAAGAATTTAATCAAAAATCATATGTTCCAGTATTGTCCAATCTTTTCCAATATTTTCGGCCATTGATTTTCTAATATGTTCCAATTCAATGAATATGGTGAGGCAAACCCCCAGCAAAATGCAAAAAGGCACCCCTCAAATCCTTCCTAATACCAGCGACCAACTGCTACATTGCAATACAGCCATTCTGCAACTATTCACCATCACCACCTGGAGGCTCCCACTCCATGGTCACATATGGTCCATCATTCCAGGGATTTATAATTGACATACATTTACATGCATGCGGCGCATGCGTGCAGGCACATGCCTGCAGCACACACACACACACAGAGCATAGAATTATGTGTAGATGCGTGTGTGTGTGTACATATGCACACACACAGATATATGTATTATATATACGTACATTCATACCACCAAAAAACACTATGGACTTCGCAATATTCAATATTCCCGGCCCAAAAAGCAAACTGCTTCGGCCATGCTGCTGGGACTACTCCTTGCAGGCCTGCCGAAACGATAACAGTGCGATAATTGGGGGCCAGTGCAATCATAACTGCTGGCGATGGCAAATCTAATGCAGGCTGCACCGTGTTTACATCCTTTCATCACATGGAACCCATATCTAGCTGAAAGGCATCTTCTGAAATCTTTCGGAGGATGAACAACACTGGAAAAACATCAGGGAACATTTCCTGCATTTGCCACCAGTCACATGGCACCGTGCTCTGCTGCCAGGGCTGTAAAGCATGATATTCCCCAAAAGTCAGAAAAAACGTCATAAAACTTCGGCTTCACACCTGGTCCCTCTTGTCTGCCTTAGGGTGTCATGAGGCACATGCTGAAAGGAGTTGGGTTGAACCATCTGATCAGGGTTCAAAGCGTTCCAGGTAGAAGCATTTGACCTGACAACAAATAACTTGTAATTGTAACATAGTGTAACCATGTATCATGTGCTACACCCATCTTCTATGCAGGGGACATTGGGCAATGGAGGGCAACTCCCTCCAAGGAATGGCCTAGCATGAGACCACACCAAAAGCAAGGATCGCTGGGACAGGCACCCATCAAGGAAGCCCTGACGTCATCCCTGATGTCACCCACCACTGAAGCCCTGGAAATCACCTGGCACAATGTGATGCTATGATCATGGCGTGGCATGCCTTTGAGCACGGCATATTGACGGATCTCTACAGGTTTTTGGCACCATGTTCAGGTTCAAGGGTTTGCTGCAAGCTTACCATTCTTTGAAGTTGTGTAAAAGAACATCTTCCACCAACAGTGGCCCTGCAGGCTTCAAGATCCCAAGTCCCCCCAAAAGAACTCTATAGCATCTGGGAGTTTCGGCCAGGCACCTTTTGGACATAAGCTGAACGCTGCTGGGCCATGCTGGGCCACTGGTCTGTTCGAAATTCTGGTTCTGACAGGTGTTTCATTTACTCCTAGCAAGACCTCTGGAAGCTACTGGAAGGATCTGGAAGGTATGCAAGCCACATTTCTGTGGAAGTGTCAAAGGCATTTGAAGATCTTTGAAGTTCAATGTGTCTTGATTTCTGCGTTTTTTCCCCCTTTTTTTGTATTTTCGCAGCCGTTCCGGCCTCGTTGGTCGCAGCGTTGGCTTTTTCCAGTGGCGACACCCGGAAATTGAACTTGTCTTCCTCTGCCACTGGACCAACGAGGACCTTCAGCTCCGAGGGGGCAACGGGCGAAAACACTGCAGTATACTGCAGTGTCGCTGACTGTCGCTGCAGCCAAAGGGACGTCATACATGTCTGTCATGTATTTCTTGATAGTCGTCACTTCGAACATGAGCCTGGCAGGACATCGCAGGCCAACAGTTTCAACAAACTCAGTCATGGCAAGCTAAAGCACCAAAAGAAGACCCCATACGCACTTCAGATCAATGATAATTCCCAAGATTCCCAAAGTGACAGGAGCACCAACACTCGTCTTTAGATGGTCATTGCAACTCTTAACCGTCACCGGTAAGTTCTAAGATGTTCTAAGCCATCTCATCTGCATCATCCTCGACTTGATCATGTGCACCGAGTAAAGAAAACTCACACTGTTGGAGCTGCAGGGTTTCAGCGGAGTTACTCCATGCTGATCTCAACCTTCAACATGCGGAGGGGCCATGGATGAGCCGTTCAGTTGAAGTTTAAATACAGCAATAAAGCATGTCCAAAGGACATCAAAGGACATCATGTTTTTGTTCGCTGACATGGCGGAAGGTTTTTAAATTTTGACATCCAAATCCTAGGCATACAATATGCGGCATGCACCATGCCCTCACCATGCCAGCACCTGGCCACATCAATGCTCTTGGCACCGCCACTAAACATCTGGATGCCAATGGCAAATTCCTGGCAGTCGGAAGTGGTCCGCTGTTCTCCTAGAGTTTCTGGCAGCAAATCAAGCAGCCTGAACGGAGACGCTACCATTGTTCTGAAAGTCCAACCTCAGTTGGGATCTAGATCAAACATGATCAAACCATGATCAAACCCCGCTACCCTGGCAAGCGCGAAAATAGATGGCAAATGGATGTTAACCCTCCAATTATGGTATAATTTAATCATGTGCCATAGGTGTTGGCCCATCCTGAGTTGGGATTTGGATGACATTACAGGGGTCATGTGGAGAAGACACGGCCTGGGCATGATGAAACTGCCGCCTCTGAAAAAAGCACGGGGCACTGGCTTGCTGTTCCAAGGGTGTCCAAGGCACATGTGGAAGACGTTCTTCAAATCAGCTTCGGTATCCAAGGCAATCCTCGATACCAAGAAGAGCGAGAAGCGCTCCCAGCTACTTGTCAAATGGGAGCCCAAACGAAACAGCACCTGGACTCGCCCAAAATCAGCGGCTGCACCCTTTGGGCCGCATGCTTTTGGTATTCTTTCTCTTGGTGGTGACATCTGATTATTCAACTTCTATTATCATCTATTATACTTTACCCTCTGGTAAACTAACATAGCTATGGAACATCACCATTTATAGTGAGTTTTCCCATGAAAAATTGTGATTTTACATAGTTATGTCACGTTATGTTAGTTACCAGATACCAGAGGGTAATTATGTTTTCAAATGCCGCCCGGAAATGAGCTGCTCCCCGAAGCGCTTGACGAACAAGCATCCCCAGCTTCTTGAAGCATGTCTGGAAATGCAAATCTGAAGCACAATGTTGAAACTCCTTCAGGAGAGTCTAGGGTGTTCTGGTTCTGCGCTAGATCGAGGAGGGATCAGAATTGAGCAGAAATGGACCTTGGGTATCCTGAAGAAAATGCTTGGGTTGGCCGTCGAATCGCGCAACAGCGCTTGCTGTCAGCCGGAAGGTGTGCAATTTTTTCCACCACTTTGGGCCACGGCAAACGGCCGTCCGTGTGAAACCTCTGGTGCTGGCTGGCTCCTCTGCTGCACTTGTCACTGCGGCAACTTGCTGTGAAAAAGTAGAATCCCAGGTAGAACGTGCGAGTTGCATGTGGACAAGACATGATGGAACATGGTAATGAGTACCCAGTTGTCGTGGTTGTTTGGTTCTGGAAGGCAGCTGGAGTCAAATCTTTGCACGGAAAGACCAGTATCTTGAGTATCCGACTCCTCTTTGAGGTCCGGACATGGAGATCTGGTCGAAATATGCCATATGCATCCGTATGCGACAACACGTGCCTGATCACCCCACGCAACCTAGCCACAAAGTGAGTTTGGCATGATTGCAGGTGCTGCAATCTGCTGCACCATTCTGCACCGTGATCCCATTCTCTAAGAAACCACTCTGTTGTTTCCCAAGGCAAGGTGGAATGAGACAGGCAACTAATTCAGATTGCCAGCCGTAGCTGCCCTGATCAGAGGGGCACTGGCAGGTCGTCTGGGTAGCCGTGATCGCCACTGCTCATCATCCCCATAGGGCCCAAAAGGCGCGCTGTACCCAGCGTGGATGGCACGAACTCGGCTTAGTGCGCTGCGGGGTCGCATGGAGCCGGGGGGTGGCTTCTCATCCTCCTTCAGGAACAGCCAGGGGACGGTAGTACCTACAGCAATGCATGCCGTATCTTCAGCTGGGAGGCATTCTCATTTCAAGACCTTATGAACTACATACTTACTATACATTACTATACAATAATATAATCATACACTTGAATTTCATAGGTTGTTCATTCCGAATCGTGACAGCTTTCAAGCTGCGCCAAAACATCAACAAGGGTGCCAGCAATTACAGTAGGCATCTCATGTCACTCATTGCCCCAGCTACTGGCCAGCAATTTTCATGAAAGTTATTTGCAATTGCGGCAAGACATTACGGACATTTACATACATTTATAATCATTTATATACATCCAAACAGCTAAAACCTGCCGGAAGAGCAGAACATAGCAGAACTATGCAGATTATGCAGAACTCAACTCTCCTCAACTATTGCGAGCTCATTAGGAGCTCAAACAGTGCCAGGAAACGCGGCGCTTCACGTGCTTTCACCTCGCAGGGAGCGACGTGATTCTCGTACCATCCCAGAATGCGTTCTGCGTGGTCACAACGAGCTCGGTGCATTTGAGCCTCACCTGACAAGGCACACTGGACATCACAGGACTCAGTTGCACCAGTTGCGCCAGTTGCCGCAGTTGCCCTATGATTTCCATTAGATTGGTCAATGATTGGTAATTATTCATCCACAAAAAAAACATTTGTATCATTGATTTGCCGCAACTTTATTCAAAGCCATTGACTACAATAAATATCAATAAATCATAATTAAAGCCATTAGTGGATTCGATAACATGACATTCTCATCATTTTCCTGGTGAAGTTATCATGGACTCTGCGCCTTTTCTCTTGACGCGCTCCGCCTGTGCAACACGAAAAATGGTTGTCCATTCTCCATGAATATCCTCACTATATATTTATTATTATTTACCCTATTTCAACATGACATGAAGCTCGCGGAAAAACCTGAAGGATCCTGAAGGAACAATCTAATCATCTAATCTAATCTACCATTTAAAGATGATTTTCCCCTTAAGACCATCTTAAGACCTCCATTCATTTATAGGGGATTTCTCAATGCCATGCTTGATCACCGGAGGGAGGATACCGGAGAATGCAGCAGATTCACCTCCGGAATGCTTCGACAAGTCAAAGTCGACAAGCAGCTTTTGCAGCGAGTGCCCTGCTCGATTGAGATAGTATTGATGCACCTTGGATCACACAGGAATACGCAGGAATGATAAACAGAAAGGCCTTCTGTGGTGAAAGCACCATGCTTCTGAACAATATTGACCAACTATCAAGATTAAACTCACAGAATTTGAAAGTTACATTACATGCCGTGCGAAATGCAAACACATCTGAGAAAAAAACAGGAGAAATAAAACAAGCTATATTTTTCCTCTGCCAAGGCACTGGCTTTTTGTCGTAGAAACGTGCTTTATCCCTTCGAGCTTCTAGTGCTGAGAGCTCTGCGTGACCGGGAGAGAAGTAGCTGCGCAAGCTCGTATCCTGGCAAGTCGAAACAGCTGCGACTGTTGGCTTGGACTGCTTGTCGCATGTTGTCGCCATTGAGGCAACTGATTTCTTGAAAGTTGATCCAGGTGATCCAAGTTGGTTGCAGTGCCTGCTGTAATGAGCTGTCCTTTTCGGGAGCCGCAGGTGGAGCCTCGATGTCCCGCTTGCTGAAGGGAAATGGCTGTTTGGCCTGGCAATGGTCCACAGGCTCCAACTTATCTAACCACAGGATATGGAAACTGTAGAAACGGTTAACTAGCCACTACCAACCACAAACTAACAACCTGCAATACGCACTATTTCTTGAGCCAATGCAATACCGTATAGAAGGTGAAAAGGGTAGTATATACACTAGGACTGTGCAACAACACCCCCCGCGCAGTGTAATTACCGCACAGGAAGTGGAGCTGCAAATTAGGCTATGTACAGACTAGTAAGGGATGCCGTTATGTTAAACCAACCAAAAACACAACAACAAAACAACCAAACCCGTCCGCGGCCTAACCTTCCATCGTCCTTTGTGCTTTCACCTCAGGTATGCAGTCATAGGCAACAAGTGCAGAAAATGACAATGCAATACAATTGACTCGACATCAAGTACGAAGGTCAACGGATGCAGTGAACATCAATTCGGTCGGATGCATTCAGCTTCATTTTAGGCTCGACTGGGCTTGTGGTCGAACATGCAAGGTGGAAAGAAAAGGTCTTGGCCCAATACTAGGCCAGCGTTTCCACGCGGCAACAAAAGTTCTTGTGGTCGCCTAGGAGCTTTGCCAAAGCAAAGCGATATTAATTAATGGCAAAAAGCTGAATTCAGAGTTGTGTGAACCCGCAGGGAAGCCTTTAGAAATGCTTCAAAGCTGCCTTAACTTCGCAAGGCAAGAGCTTCCGCTCTGCGGTACATGCAACTGCCAGCCGTGTGCTACGCAAGAAGGAATCATGGCAAGAATAAGATGAGTGCCAAATGCCTGCTTCAAATAATATGTATTCAAAGCGTTAATGAAAACTTTTGTGAACTTGAATGAGTTGGCAAAAATTCCGACTTAGCACACTTGTGTCCGATATGATGGTGGAATCGCTCACCCACCTGTGCAAAATGAAGCTAGTCACCTAACCGAATTAAATCCGAAAAGGCAACAGCTTCCGCTGTGCGACACCTCACATTGAGAGAAACTACCCCGCCTCAGATGAAGATAAATCCACCAGGCGAGAGGTTCCCCTCCGCGGTGCCTCAGCGATAGCCCGACCAACGTCGATCCCTGTATTGGTGGCCTTGGTTTCGACGGCGCCAATCTTCCCACTCCTGGTCAGTCCACTGATTGTAGTAGTCATTCCATTCCTGCTGGCTGTAGCCATGAGTGGGCCCCTGATGAGAACCGTATCCAGGACGCGAGGACCTGGTGACATCTGGGTTCTGCTGCCTTGTTGCAGGTAGGGGTCGGCTTCCGCCTTCCGTGTCCTTTGCCTCCGTGAGGGGGCGCAAGATGTCGTCGACATAGCTGAGAATGTCGGCATACACATCCTGCTTGGACAACGCAAGGGATTGGAACGTCGTGTTGGCGACGCTCAAGACCTCAAAACGCTCGGCCACAGGGATCAAGGCATAGGCGGCCGCGAACTGGTTGGCACGATAAAAGCGGTTCTTGTACCAGATGAGTACATGATCATCCACGATGATCGTCTTCATCTGCTCCTCCTCGTATGCGACCAGGCACATACGCGCTTTATACTGCCGAATCTTTCCAGTTCGGATCTCCTCGCGGGTGCGTTTGATGGAGGGAAGCACCACGTTGCCTAAAACGGTTATCCAATGCATACACCGAGGTGTAAGGTCTTGGACTGCACAGTTGAAGGCGTAGTGGGCGTCCGTTCCCAGACGCTGCAACAAAGTCAGGCCCGCCTTTCTCGCCTGCTTCATGTATGAGCGGGCGTGATTCTTGAGGACAGCAGCAGCAGATCTGATCTGCTTGGCACCTTGGGTGGTGCCGGCCACGTCATCGTCGCCCAGAAGGTCCACAGTAAGCTCGAACCCGAGCTTCTCGGCCAATTCTTCCAGGCGGAAGACCTGACATGCACGACGCATGTCGGACATTGTCGCCAGCGACAAGCCGCATGCGAGGCACACCAACATCCCCTCAGGAAAGATCTTCCTGCACCGGGGGCATGTCAATTCCGGCATTGCCAGCATACCGCCAGCGCGTGAGGTTCCCCTCCGCGGATGGGTCAAATGCCTCCTGATCGAAGCGATCAGAACGGCGTTCCCGCGCGTTGTCAGGGGCGATGTCGAAGCCAGCTGCAGTCACCGTCGGCTTGCGCGCCACGCAGAGGAGATTGGTGAAGTTGAGCGGCCGTTGCTTGGTCTTTGGCAGCAACTCATCGACGACAGGAAACGCGGACGTCGCAGAGTGATGACATCCTTCCACTGATCGTACTCATTCACGAACATGTTCTTCAACACCTCCAGGTCCGAAATCTCGTACCTTTCAAGTTCATCGTAGTTGGGAGTGCCCTTCCGAGCCTCGTTCTCTTCCCAGGTGAGAGCGTTCTCGGAGGCCTTCTGCCGAAGGTACTTCTTCACCCCGTTGTAGCCATGGTTCGCCCAAAGGTACTGCGACTTCTCGCAATCGAATGCGTAGATGAGGCAATGATTGGGCACCCAGTCCTCAGAGATGATTGCACCGGCCAAGGTTTCCACCAGGCGAAGACCATAGTGCAGAGCACAATCGGTGTCGATCGCGATGCACAGCGGTCGGTTCGTCCTGACGCCAGGATCCTTGCCTTCGATTTCCCAAGGCGCATGGCGGGTCATATACACATGACCCTTGCACGAAGTGGCCCCTGGAAAAATTCCCGTGCAAATGATCTGCTGGAGGGAGTCCCATGAAGTGTAATGGTAAATAACCCTGAACTCTTCGGGGACCTCGGCTTCCGCCAGGTGAGGATAAATAGGAACCCTTGGGTAGAATCCCTTCTTCAAGTCCTCGACCGTGAACTGGTAGTCAAGCGAGATGATTTGCTTGACCAATGGAGCCGTTCCCACCTTCTCGATGAGGGACTGGTCATGGCCTTGGCAGGCCTTCACATGGGTGATGCGATACGGCATGTCCATGGTTGTCAGTTCCCCGACAATTCCAGCTTCGATGCGACACATGAACCTGTCCTGGGTTCGAAGGATCAGGTAGAGATCCTGTCGCGAAAGCTGGGCGCGATGCCTCTTCCTCAGGTAGTTGTACATGGACTCGAAGTTCAAGTACAGCTCCTCATCAAATTCTGGAGGAATGTGGCGATGGTGCGCCTCGAGGAACTTGTGGTCATAGCCGCGCAGCAGCCCAGTGACCCGCTTTGAGAACTTGAAGTCGTCGTGGCTAAGATGTCCAAGATCTCGAAGGCCAGGCAGTTCAGTGCACCTGATGGTGAACTCCCTGCGCTCGCCCGTTCCCGGGGAGAAAAAGTACCATTTGGGATACCCAGATGGTCGCAAAGGCGGATCAGCCGGAGGCTGAGGTCCACCCGTTCCCGGGGGAGGAGCACTGGCCATAGGCGGCTCCTTCTTGGCAACTTTCGGGGCAGGCTCCGACGAAGACGTAGCTGCAGGTGCCGATGACTTCTGCGGAGGTGCCCTTGGTGAGGTTGTTGTCAACGTCGCAGGCGGTGCCTTGAAAGGCAAAGCTTTGGGCATAGGATGGTCCGCAGCTTCCGCTGGGAGTGCAGGTGGCTCCGGCTTGGGGGATCCAGTTGCACTCTTCGGAGTCGGTGGCGGACTGGGCTTTGGGGACGCCATGGGAGACGTTCCCGTCGCCGTTGAGACCTTTGGAAGCCGTGGAGCAGGCTTGGGCTGAATCATGGTAGCCTGATCCTTCATCTTGGGTTTGATGAATTGGCTGACCGTGTTCCCGATCACCTGGGCGATGCCACCCGATGACGATGCTGCTTCCGATGAGGAAGCCGCCTTCGACTTGGCCTTCGACAGGATCTGGACCGAGGCAGCAGGGTCACCCGCGCGAAGTTTCTCTTCGGCGGTCTTGGGCTCCTCAAAGATCTCCCGTTCCATCTGACGATGCTTCTCCTCATCCGTCAAATCAAAGCGACGAATGATGATTGCACCTTCTTCTGTCTGCTGCATGGATTCCCGCCGAAGTTCAAGCTTGGCAGGGTCACGTGTGACGTCGGTGTCCAAGATGTTAACTACGCCAGAACCATCCAATTTGAAGTCCACAGCATGGATCTTGTTCATCAGATGGGAGCGCAGCTTCCGCTGGCTAAACATTGAGGCTGAGCCGCCGACAATGGGTTCCCTGAAGACAATCTCCTCGTCGGCATCTGGCTCGTCAATGTCGCGCTCGTCGGAAACACCAGGTAGACGATCCAAAAAGGGCTTGAGGATGGCGTCAATGAGCTCACCATCCATCTCCGGCTCTTTGATCTCATGTGGTTCAAAGTGCTCGGGTTCCCCCGGCAGTGCAGCGTCCACGGACTCCAAAAGCTGCCAGTTCGATGAGGCCACAGTGGCATCATCCTGCACCGTAGGAGCCTGTGGGATTTGTGCACGTTCGGGGTCAACTTCATTGGGAAGTCGTTGCCCTTTGGGTCGGGTCTCCTTCACATAGATTTCCCAACCGTCCACGTCCATGGAGACCAGCACCTCTTCCATCTCTTCCCATTCAGGGTTGTTCTCAGGAAGGGGGTTGGCCAGCGATTCCTCGCGGCGCTTCTTCATCTCAGCCATCTCAATCAATGGCTTGCACGACCGAAGTCGAAAGAGATGATAACCAAGAGCACCTGCTTCGGAACAGAACCGAATGCACTGGAGGCGGTTATGCTCCGAATTCTCCATGTGCTGGCCGTCGTATCGTGTAGTACACTTGATAAGCGACGTGGCATCGAGGACGCAGAGTCCACGTTTCCTCAACGCCTCGGCTTCTCTGATCATTTGACGGTCATAGTCGGGGTGCAAACCGTACCCTCTGCCGTACCAGGGCATGATAAGGACGATGTTCCCAACGTCGGCACGCGTCGTCAGCTTCACGAGGTCGTTCAAGGCGGAGAAATGGGTATTGACCCTCTCCTCCATGAGATCGTTTGCTGCGTCACGGCGCTTCTGTGAGTAACATGCCATCTCCCTGTCAAGCCAATCACAGTGGAGGAAGCCGTAATTCCCAAAAATGTCGTTGCCAGCGTAAGAGATGACAA